GGGAGTTTTGACCTGCTCCCTTTCCAACCTGGGCCAGTTCACCCCCACTTAGGCAACCTGGTGGTCCCCCGCTCCTGGGAGGTCACCATATTAATGCCGAATTTAGTGCGGACATCTGATCAGCATAGTGCACTACAGCCCAGAACTCCTGGGCTCAAGCGATCCTTCAACCTCAGCCTCCCGAGTAGCTGGAACTACAGGCATGCACCACTGCACCTGGCTTTTTTTTTTTTTTTTAAAGAATCATGTCCCTAAACACTTTGTAAAGAGAACTTTTAAATGTGTTCAAATTTTTTCATCAAATGAAAATTCCTTCTTCCTCCCATTCCACTAAATACATATACACCAAATAGGGAGTTTAATTTTCAAAGACTTTTTAAGCCTATTTTAAGCCTGTTTTGAGAAAACTAATTAATTTGACCAAGAAAGTTTCTCCATGTCCCCAAAATTTTAAAGTTAAATTAAAATAAATGTATAAACTCATCAGTGGCATACCATTTGCCATGGCAGAATTCAATGAACAGTAACATGGCACAAGCCAGGACCCAGAATTGAGCTCCATGGACTCAGGTGGACACCACAAAACAACTGGTGGGGGACGAGGGTGTGGGAGGACTCAGGGGAGAATGGGGCTTGTCAGAGATAACAGAGAAACCAGAGTTGAAAGCATTAAATAAACACCAAGGTGAAGAAGGGTGAAGTCAAACACTGAAAACACCAACTAAGGTAAGAAAATCCGACAAGGCAGGGTCAAGGGGAGGCTCCAACTAGGTCAGAATATCAATGATAAAGGCAAACAGTCATTAAGCAACTCTGATACCTGTACACTTTTTTTGTTTGTTGTTTTTTTTTAGACAGATACTCTATTGCCCATGCAATGGTGCGATCTCAGCTCACTACAACCTCTGCTCCCCAGATTCAAGCAATTCTCTGGCCTTAGCCTCCCAAATAGCCTGGACTATAGGCACACGCCACCACTTCCGGCTATTTTTTGTATTTTTTTCAGTAGAGACAGGGTTTTACCATGTGGGTGGGCCAAGCTGGTCTCAAACTCCTGACCTCAGGTGACATGCCTGCCTCAGCCTCCCAAAGTGCTGGTATAGACGTGAGCCAACTCGCCCACCCACCTGTGTACTTTTCCTCCAGGCTTTGTTTTACTTGCTGCTAGGAATGTTAGGTGTTGTAGCCAGATGTTGATAATTATAAAAAGGAAATCAAAAGCGCGCAGGTAGACTCTGCCCTTGATTAACTCCTGGGAAAATACTGGAATTAACTCAAAATTGCTGGTTGCCTCACCACTTTCTCCAAGAAGCTGTTTAGGTGACCCCAAAGGCTATGAATGATGATTGGAATTTGATCACAGATCTTGAAACACACTTCTAAGGAAGTCCTGAAAGTCTAACCCTTTTATAAAATGTAATAAGAATATTTTTCAGGCTGGATGCAGTGGCTCACAACTGTAATCCCAACACTGGGAGGCTGAGTCGGGCAGACCACAGGAGTTCAAGACCAGCCTGGCCAACATGGTGAAACTGTCCCTACTAAAAATACAAAAATTAGCCAGGGGATGGGGGGGGCGGCGCAGGTGCCTGTAATCCCAGCTACTTGGGAGGCTGAAGCAGGAGAATCGCTTGAAGCCAGGAGGCAGAAGTTGCAGTGAGCCAAGATTGTGCCACTGCACTCCAGCCTGGGCAACACAGTGAGACCCTGTCTCAAAAAAAAAAAAAAAAAAAAAAAAAAAAAAAAAAAAAATATAAAAAAAAAAAAAAAAAAAAAAAGAAAGAAAGAAAAAATACTTTGCAAATTCTCTGAGAAGCAAGCAGCCAACTTACTAATGAGTTTGATCAGCAAATGGGATTTCAAAACACATTCCATCTGCTGCTCTCTACTCAAACTTCTCAAAGCTGTAAGAAGAGGTGTGGGTCTCCTCACTGCCTCCTGCACTATGAGCCCCTCTGCTCCTCATCCAGCCGTGAAAGCGGACATGACCTAAATTCATCAGCCAAATTGGTCTGGCTCCATTTGTCTCCTCATTAAACCTACAGAGAAAGATCTTACTGCTCTTAAGAAATCTGCTTACATATCCAAGTTTACTCCTTGTACATTTCCTCTTCCTTAAAACCAATCATTTTGCTTTGAAGTGCATATAACTGGTGGAAAGTCCCCTCTTCTGCATCTGTCCCATCATTTCAACTGTGTGAGTTCTGCACCTGTCAGAAACAAAATGAGTCTCCATGCTCCCCTCTGTCCCACCGACAGGTGTCCAGGTAGTGCTCAATCAATTCTATGCCTCCCACACCTCCTCCAGTATCCAATCCCCCACCCAGCCTGCTCCACTGCAACCTGTTTTTCCACCCATTGGACAAGTTGTTTCCAAACAGTGAACTGTGATCCACTAACACGTTATGAGTTTTTAAGAACACAGACTAGAAACAAATAGAATAGAAACTAGTTTCACATACACATATTCTTGCTACATCCTGGGTCTCAGTGTAAAAATGAATTTTGTACTGTTGTAGTCTGAAAAATGTTTGAAACACTGCTTTAGACAAGCCTTTGTCCACCTAGTCAAACTCCACCCATGATATTGGTTCCGCTGTCCTGGACTCCCTTCCTCCAGCGTTGGCCCAAGCTCTGAACAGCCTTCCGTGTGTCTTCCTCATTAGCTGTTTTCAAAAGCTTTAGTCTTTTGCACTGGTTCAGAAGCTCCTTCTTATCTATCCACAGGATTGCCTTCTCCTTGAACAGACCAATGTTCTGAACAAAGGAACACCTTTTGCTATTCCTGCCTTATCCTGCCTGATCAAATCTGGGATCTGCTTGCAGCACATCTAACCGTCTCAGCAGGAATAACAAGCCTCAGAGCAGTAGGCCTCCATTTCTTTGTGTGCAACCTTTCATCCTCAAGAAAAAAATACCACCAGAGTCACTCTGAAAATACCTTAGACTTTCTTACAAAATTAGCCTTTCTCTCCTGCTGTAACGTAGTCTCTGGTGTAATCCATCCAGCGCCTGATACCAATCAATGCCAGGTGAATACAGCTCATCCCTGATGTTCAGTTAAAGTCTGTTTCCCATCCTTGAGAACAGATGGTGACTCCACCTCCATACTGCTATCTTCTTCTTCTCACAAGGCAAATGGAAGAAGAAAAAGCACAACAAGGTGACTGCACTAGTTTGGTGGTACCCTTTCCTCTCTCAAGGATGAGGGCACAAGCTGTCCAGCACAACTCCACCCCCAGTTTTGCCCTTTGTCCAAATGCCCACAACTCTCACCCAACTAATTATCTTCCTCAACAGAAAAGCTAGCTTTTCATATCTTTGTGTAGACTGTTCAGCTTACTCTTCTTAAACTGAGTATCCCAGTTTGAGATAATGAAGCCTAAATGAATCTTTAATCTGTAAGATGCGGGATTAATTTGGAAAGAAGGGTGAGGAGAGACACTGAAGTCTAAAGAGTTTCTCACAAACTAAACTGCTTGTTTTCCTCTAATACGTGTAACGACAGCTTTGAGAGAGGAACACGAATGCTGGGCCTCCCCTAGAGCGCCAAGGAGGACGGTAAACAGGTCTGAAACTGTTAGCACAGCTGTGCTTGACTGAGGAGCCAGAAACACTCTCCAGAAGAAAGAGGGAGAAGGGCCCATCCAACCTCAGGTATGTTCCCAAAACTGCTATAAGCTGTATCACTTCCCTTTTGAAACCCAGCCCCTTTCCCATTTCTCAATTGGGAATCTAGGGATCCTTCACTTCCTCCTACTTACCTGGTTACAGGGAGGACTCTCCAACACCTACAAAGCCACTACTTCTTTCTCCTCACTCCTTTGCAGGGCAGGCTCTTAATCAGTCTAACACTCAGATTTCTGATAGCTCCCTGCTCCCAAGACTTCCCTTGGCAATGAAACAAATTTACCCAGTGGAGACCAGAAAATCAAGGAAGACAGGCCAACTCTTGCATCTGTACTCCAGGACCTATTCAAAAGACTCCAGTGAAGACCTCGCTTCCCTGGAGCTTGCATTAGTCTCAGCCCCTTGAACATGCCATTCCTAGTCACCTCCAAGTATACAGCATTAGTAGCAAAGACCCATTATTCTTCACACCAGGGTAAAGGCGGCTTACAGTGAAATGAATAGAAATGGAAATCTAATACTGTAAATAAATAATGACTGATTGGGCAGCTGGGTCAGAGGCACCCAGCCTAGACAGGTAAAACTCATGCAAAATCACACAGTAAAGATTCAAACTCCAGGGAGAGGTAATGGGACAAAAGGGGTGGCAGGTGTAGAATAAAAAGGCACCCTAAAATAATTATTCTCTGGGTCACCAGATGGCACAGGAGGGGCGTGGCAAATAAACTAAAATCCATGGTTCCTCAGCCATTCTTTCAAATTTTCTAACACGGCAGGAATACACTTTTCTAATTTAGTTTCACCCATACAATTTAAGGAAAAGATAAGCAAGGATAAAAATTCCTCATATATAGCACACTTAAAAGGGATCTGGGATTCTCTAACTTACTACCTTAATCGGCTATACAAAGATGAAGTTACACTGGAATCCACATCATGTGCTCTCAAGGGAGTATCTCAAAAACATCACAATCCAAGGTCCATTTTTTCTCAACTCTCCATTGGTGACTGCACAAAGATTTTACTAAAATGACAGCTTTTTTCCTATTTCACACGTCAATTCCTAACATCCACACCATCTCTTCCATCTTCTCCAAACTGGCATTTGGATTAAACATTATCCAAGATTAGTGTTTAAGGTCAATTTCATAATTTCACATAAAGGTGTGCACCACATTAACACTCAAGTGTGTGTACAATTAAAAATATACAGACCAGCAACAATATCTCGTAAATGAACTTAGACTCAAAGTGTTGTCACAGAGGTTATCCTGCCGTCTTGGAGGGGTAGGAAAATGCTGGCATTACGAATCCCATTTCATGGCTGGGTAAACCGAGGCACTTAGTTTAATAAACTTACCAGGGGTTACAGTGGTGGAGCTGGAAATAGAAACGAATCCCTCCCTCTGACTCTCCACCTGGTCCCTTCCTACTAGACTTTGCAGTGCTCGGTGGCTAAAAATGGGACCCACTTGAGAATTGCAAGGGTAAACAGGAGCTACTTGTTTCAGAAGGTGGCGGCGGGGGAGGCGGACTTACCCACTTGATGCGCCTAATTGTGTGTGGGCTCTAACAAGAAAGCTCTCCCTGCATGCCCAAAGGTTTGCCCCCACCCGCTTTAAGCTCAGACCCGGGAGGCACCGCCAGGCAGACAGGGCAGCCCGAACTGTGCAGCCCGAGAAACGCTAGAGAAACGCAGGGCGCCCAGGCGGCGCGGGGGCTGCGGGCCCCGGGACACCATCTGCTCCCGGAGCGACGCCGTGGCCCGCCGGGCGGGGACGATGCTGCGCCTGCCGCACACACCTGCCGGAGCCCGCCCCGCAGCCCCGGGCCGCCTCCCGCGCGCCGGACGCCCACCCAGCCTCCCGGCGCAGGAGCCCTCGGCCGCGCTAGGCCAGGGGCGGGAAGCCGCGGCGCCCCGCTCTGAGGGCTGCGCTGGGCGGCCGGCGCGGGGGAGCCGCGGAGCGACGCGATCCCGCCCTCCTCCCCAGCCCCCCTCCAAACGGCGTCACCTGTGCCGAGTCCCGGGGCGAGTGGCGCGCGGGCGGCGGCTGCGCGGAGCCGGGAGAGGCGGCGGGTGGCTACAGGCGTCTGGTCATCCGGCCCGGCCCGAGGGCTGGCGCCGGCCAGTGCCGCCCCGCGAGATGCTGGCGGGAGCCAGGGAAGCCGCGAGCTCCGGGCCGCTTGGAGGTGCAGTCGCCGAGGCTCCAGCTACCGCCGCGGCCGCCGCGCCCGCCTGGACTGCGGGCTCGGGTTACCGCAGAGCGGCTCCTTAAAGGGGCCGCTGCTGCTCGGGCTCCGGCTCCCACTCTGGGCAGCTCAGACCCTGGCCAAAGTGGGCGGGGCCCCGAGGCCGGCCGCCGGGCCGACCTTCGTGTGCTGGGACTTGGGTCCCGGAAAGAGCCCGAAAACGCTAACACCCGAAGTCACAGTGGAGAGATTCTTGCCAAGGGCATAGGGTGCAGTTCCCGGGTTTGCCAAAGCAAGTCACAAAACTTACCAGTGGGGAAACTATGCGAGCCCGCCCCCGCAGCGGTCAGTACCTGGGCTAGCCACGTAACCAAAAATCTTCTTAGATTATGAATTTACATTCTGCCTTAAATGCTCAAATACTGCGTAAGTGTACTTCATGGTTAGATCATCAGAAAAGAGATGAAAAGGCAACTGCTGGCTTTTCTTGCCACGTCTGACACGGCCACACTCGAGTCCCGCCAGTTCTTGTTTGGGGCTGCAGGTGCTTACCAAAACTGGGTAGGGGGCGTGTGTGGAAGAAGCGTGTTCTCTGGAGCACCACCTCCGGAATTCCTGAAAAACACCCTTATGGGTGCACCAGCACTCCACCTACACCGGAACCCCTCTGCTGTCGGGGTGTGGAAATTGGATTTGAATATTTGGTGCTGGCTGAGAATTCCAAGTTGCCTAATAGATAAAGTTTGACATTAAATAGATCTTCTGACCTGTTATATACAGCCTCAAAATCTTCTGCATTAACTAGATATAATTGTTTGAAACAAAATAATGAAGAGGTACATTCAGTCTATTATAATTCGCAGAAAGCAATCACAAAGGCTTTTCTTGAAAAGAAGCTCTAAATAAATAATTTGTAAACACTATCATTGATAACAGGATATTTAAATGTAAGAAATATCCATAGAGCTAACATATTTGACCTACTATATACATGCACAGAAAGACACACATATGTGCTGCAGATTTAGACCAGAAAATACACACAAGCGCATATAAGCTGTCCCTGTATTTTCAAAGGAGAGCAATAGAATTTAAATCAGAACCTGGAATTCTGTCAGTTTATTAAAGTCGTGTGCCTTTCACTAACAACCTCACTGAGGCTCAATTTCTTCATCTATAAAATGGGAATAATAATTCATAGTGACTCTGAAGACCTGGACTGACATGGAAAAGACAAAATCTATACCACGGAACAGGGAGGGACAGAAAATGCCCTATAGTCAAGCAGAGAGAAAGATCCTGTAGGTCCCCAAGTGCATGTTCCCCTTTTCCTCCTCAAAACTCTCAGGACTTACTGGGCACCAGTGCCCTTTGACCACACCCTGTCCCATCATAATTCCTTCACGATATGTGCAGTACCTGACAACTTTGGTTTGCCCAATAGCTACGTTGTGCACTCACATAGCTATTTCATAACTCTCCGTGGGCAGGATGGGTATATGGGAACATCTATGGAGTCAACCCAGAAACTACAGATTTCACAGTGTCATCTCAAGACTGCATCAACACTACCTCCTATAGAAACTCTCCCATGCTTGTCTCTGGTGGCCGATAATAGCTCTGTTCTTTCCTGATAAATGCACCATCATTATCTTTGATATGCATAATTCTCTAACATCAAGAGCAGTAACCAAGGCCAAGTAAACCTACAGAAATCCACTATACTCTATTTCCCAGTATATTTCTTCATGTTAGGCCTCTACAAATGCATCAGGAAATCTGTAAGATTGTTTTTGAGATTATACAGAACCTGTAAGTGAATATATCAAGGACAAGGCTTGCGTTACGAGAGGAATTCAGTAAATAGTAATTGAATGTTGAAACTTTTACGCTAATTAAAACTGAGTGACCTTAGGAGGCAAAAATATACATTAAATGTATATATTTTTCCTGAAAATTTTAGGGTAGCTTAATCTCTGTAAAAATATCCAGTTCAGGCCGGGCAAGGTGGCTCACGCCTGTAATCCCAGCACTTTGGGAGGCCGAGGTGGGTGGATCACCTGAGGTCAGGAGTTCAAGACCAGCCTGGCCAACAGGGTGAAACCCCATCTCTTTTAAAAAATAAAAAAAGGAAAAAAAAGTCCAGTTCATTATTAACATTTAAATCTTTATTATTAATTGTTTCACCAGTATTCCCTTTCCAAGGATACATTCTCAAAATTGTGTATTTACCATACAAAGTTTTTCTGCATTTTAAATGGGATAAAGACTGAATTGTACTTTTCATATTTTTATTCACTGAAACAGTTCAAGCAAATATATCAGAGAAATATAAGCATTTATCTACACTTGAAATGGGAAAAAATACATAAACACCACTATGCTTCGTTAATTTTTGTATGCACTTTTTGCATATTTTATTATCTGTGGTATCTTTTCTATAATGTATGTGTATTGTTTTTGTTTGCATTTTTATTTTTAGTGAAAGTAATATACAAAAGTGAAAAATCAAATGATTCTTAAAGGCTTATAACAAAAAACATCAATGAGTACCATCAGCCCCCTGCCCTGCTTCTCCCCGCCTGTCTTCACCCTACATTCCACACAATCCTACCAGTTTCTTCATCTCCTAAATGGTAACCTTATAACAATATTTCTTGATTTTCAATTTTACACGTTATTTATTGACAACTTATGGTATTTGAGGATTTAGGTCTTTTACCCACCACCACGACGACCTTGCCTTCATGCTTCCTTCCAACATAAGCATATTACAATGTTTACTCAAATCAACAACTAGGGGGCAGGTGCAGTGGCTCACACCTATAATCCCAGCACTTTGGGAGGCTGAGGTGGGCACATCTCCCGAAGTCAGGAGTTTCAGACCAGGCTGGCCAACACGGTGAAACCCGGTCTCTATTAAAAATACAAAAATTAGCCAGGTGTAGTGGCACACACCTGTAATCCCACCTACACGGGAGGCTGAGGCAGGAGAATTGCTTGAATCCAGGAGGAGGAGATTGCAGTAGGCCGAGATCACACCACTGCACTCCAGCCTGGGAGACAGAGCAAGACTCCATCTCAAAAAAAAAAAAAAAAAAAAAAAAAAAAAAATTAGGGTTTATATCATCCTGCCAATGTAAATATAATGCATTACTGAATCAAATAATATGCCATAATAACACTTTTTTAAAAATCTCCTGTTCTTCCTGGACTTAATAATTGCCTGCTTTTTTGCTTTTTAAAAATGTAGCTAAGGTTGGATGCAGTGGCTTATAACTGTATTCCCAACACTTTGAGAGGCCAAGGCAGGAGGATTGCTTGAGGTCAGGAGTTTAAGACCAGCCTGGGCAACCTAGTAAGACTACATCTAAGACTACATCTATACATACATACATACATACATACATACATACAAAGTATCTAACCTGAATTTTAGATACAAATGCTTCACAGCTGGGTAAAATGGCTCATGCCTGTAATCCCAGCACTTTGGGAAGCCGAGGTGGGCGGATCACAAGGTCAGGAGTTTGAGACCAGGCTGACCAACATGGTGAAACCCCATCTCTACTAAAAATACAAAAATTAGCCAGGCATGGTAGCATGTGCCTGTAATCCCAGCTACTCAGGAGGCTGAGGCAGGAGAATCACTTGAATGCGAGGCTGAGGTTGCAGTGAGCCAAGATTGCGCCACTGCACTCTAGCCTGGGTGACAAAGCAAAACTCAGTCTCAAAAAAAAAAATGCTTCAACATATCTATCAAATGCCCATCAATAATATCTTCTAATGCCCAAACACACAACTTTTTTTTTTTTTTTTTTTTGAGACAGTTTTGCTCTTATTGCCCAGGCTGGAGTGCAATGAAGTGATCTCGGCTCACCGCAACCTCCGCCTAGCCTCCCAGGTTCAAGCAATTCTCTGGGCTCACCGCAACCTCCACCTCACAGGCAATTCTCCTGCCTCAGCCTCCGGAGTAGCTGGGATCACAAGCATGTGCCACCACACTTGGCTAATTCTGTATTTTTAATAGAGACAGGGTTTCTCCATGTTGGTCAGGCTGATCTCGAACTCCGGACCTCAGGTGATCCACCCGCGTGGGCCTCCCAAAGTGCTGGAATTACAGGCATGAGCCACGGCCCCCGGCCACAGCTTTCAGTTTACTCTTATTTTGCTGGAGCGCAGATTCCAGTAGCTTACTCAGAAGAGGTTCATAGAGGGTAAATTGCTGGAGTACTTGCATGTCTGAAAATGTATTAATTCTATTTTTATTCCTGACTGATAATTTAGATGGATTGAAAATCATTTTCTCTCGGCATCTTGAAAGCATTTTTCCAGTGCTGCCATTGAAATGTCTAATGCCTTTCTAGTTCCCACTCCTCTGTATCTGATCTATATTTCTTTCTAGAATCTTCCATTTTCCCTAATAGTCTGAAATGTCATATTGATGTACTTTACAATGGGTCTTTTACAGTGATTGTGCTGGATACCAAGGGGTCTTTTTAATCTCATTAGCAAATTTTTTCTTTCATTTATTTGCTATTTTCCTCCCTTCCATTTTCTCTATTCTTTTTGTGAATTCTTGTTAGTAGGTTATTGGAACATCTATATTATTCTCTAAATTTATTGTCCTTTTATCCTATTGATCATCTGAATCTTTCTTGTCTATTTTCTGAGACAGGGGTTCTCAAACGGGGAAGAAGGGAGAGAGGATTCTGCCCTCTGGATATTCCCCTGCCCCAGGAGACATGTGACAATGTCTGGAAATATTTTTGGTTGCCACCACAGGAAAGAAGGGATTGCTCTGGCATCTAGTGAGTAGAAGCCATGGATGCTGCGAACGAGCATACAGCACACAGAGCAACCTTTCACACAAAGGATTTCCAGCCCAGACGGCAATTGTGCCAAGATTGAGACATCTTTGACCAAAATAATTCCTTAACCTGATCTTCCACTACTAAAGGTTCTATTTCAAACACATTTTTCATTTCCAAGGGCTCCTTCCCATTCTCTGGTTAGACATTTTGTTTGTGGGAACTCTTCATCAAGGATAAACTCCTTTTTCCTGAGAAAAACTTGTAACCTCATAGAGGGATTGCACTGATGGTGGTAGTGTTAGGGTGGAGAACATGAGTGCAGGCTGGC